TTATGAAACATTGTGGAGCCACCAATTTGGGGCTCCACTTGTACAAAGGTCTCCACTTTGTCTGTGTGTGTCTGGTCTACTGGCTCTACTTCTACGTCTACACTTTGGTTTTAAACAGCAAACAATGTGGAGCCCGAGTGCAAGGCTCCACTTTCAGGAGGGGCTTCACATCGTTGGTGTGTAAACAGGCCAATGGCTCCACATTTCATGGTTTACCAACGCACACACACACACACACACACACACACACACACATAAGCGGAGCGGATCGCCAATGAATTACCGAACGGGCGGGGAGGGAGTGTCTACGTATAGACAGAAAATTAAGAAGATTAACTGGTAATAGTATATTGTTGCTATTAAAAATACAAATAATTAAATAATGTGATAATATGAGATACTGTTTTTTTTATAAAGAAACGATGAAGCAGTTTAATACTAATTCGATTTAATACTAAATTCGAATACAGGAACACATGATTGGCGTAATCAATGTTTACTATTAATGTTATCTGATTGATTGACACTGATGTTATTAATTACATAAGGGCAAATTTACAAACACACATTTACGCAAATACGATTGTGACAAAATAATACAAATAGAAATATATTCCAATGTGATTGATGCCCTCTATAGTTGAGATAAGTTTCTTTATTTCCGTTTTGTTTTGACACAGCGAAGTCGTGTTTCCTGATTGGCCTGTTTAAATGGAGTTTATTGACAGCTGTCTGATATATTGTGTGGTATTATGTTTTTAAAAGCACTTACTGTGCTCACACTACAGGTTTAAATTCATGAGTGGAGGTATATGGAAATTATGGCGGTAAATGAACGCAAATGGAACAACATTTATACCCACACCATCATACAACAGACATTGCTGGCAGTTTATTCCAATTCGTACAATGGATAAGTTAAGTACAAATATATCAAAGACAAGTATTGGAATTAATATCAACCACAATGCCTAACTTTAGTGAACAACTTAACATTGTAATTTACAAACAAAACCAGGTTTATAATAAGTATGACAACCGTCTCATTGGTCGAGAGATTATATGCAGATTTTATTTTAGGAATAACGTAGAAATATATTTAGGCATACAGATTTTTCATTACCGACAGAAAATTGTATTTTGAGCATTCAGTATTTGTATTATATGACAAAAATTATTTTACAAATTAGCCTTGCTAGATTGCATCATTGGAAGAAGATATTTATTATAGGAGTCATGCACCTGGAAGAAAAACAGAATGTACTACATTAGAGAAAATGAGATTCAAATTACCATATGCATTAATATGAACACTGAATACATGCATTATAGAAGAAACAAGTTATACTTAATATGTACACTGAACTAACACCAGACTCATTGAATGGCGAATTTTT